TCATTTATATTGATTACAACATTATATTTGTATTATTCAATATATTTGTTAAAGAGAATTGCCTTCGAGTTTCAAATCATAGCATTGCATTCCATTCGAGCGCGATACATAACAAGATGCAGATATAAAAATAAAAGGATTCTCAGTCTCGCTGGATGCCATTATTGTTATTGGATGAGTCATTCCATAAACTACAACTATTGGCATCTGCCATTATGGTAATTTTTTGTTAAAAATTCTTAGTTACCCAGATTTTGTGATTTGGCCAATTATTGAACATTAACGGGTGCTGCCAGCGAAGATAAGTCTGCCCTAACTTCCTTAATATTGAAGTTAATGTTAATGTTTAGTCACACTTAATATTGATAACACTATTTGTATTTATACTGTATGACACAGCCATCAAAATGCAGGTCAACAATTAATTGTAATAATGAAAGGTGACTTCATGAATCATCTCTGAAGTCATTTTTCAATTTGACGACTCTGTAAATAATAAAACAGGGAGAAAAAAACAGTCTTTGCTGAGTTTCTTGCCGGTTCTTCTCAGTACAAGGTCTCCCGCCGTAGATTTACGAACCGATGGCGTAGCTTCTAGACATTCATGATTGCTTGTAACAGCCTAAACTGAATAAATGATTTTGATTATGATTATTTAAAATTTAAATCGTCTCGCATTTTTTTATATTTATAGAAGTTGTTCGACCGTAACATGCAGGTTACCAAACTCGCTTTGCCTGAGATCACTCGGGTGTTTGTTTTAGCACGACTGCTCCTAATTATGTGGAACATAATTCGTAGATCTCGTAATTACCGAACGTTAATCTGCCGATGCCATAAAATGTTTTCTCTTCTCGCGGTTGATTAGAACTAACGGATAACTAATCTCACTTGTTTTCTAGGAAATTGATTACTTTGAGTCGTCTTATACCCTAGTCAAGTGGTTATAATAGGCCTTTTGTAAATAATTATTGTCTTAAGTTCTTAAAACTCGTTTCGTCTAGACTACTCAAACAACACATCGAGATTACTATATGCCTTTCCTTTCATTACTTTCCAATAGAGAGAAACTCAACCTTTATTATTATATTCATTTCCTACTACTATACTTCACTACTTACTTACTTCTTTATCATTTTTTTAATTGATTTTCCCTAATTTAGTTGCGGATGTATGAATGAAAATACTGTTCGCGTAATTTTGCGGTTTTTATAGAGGACATTTATTGTATGAGTAAAATAATAACTATTGTTATTCGCAATGTTACCAATATTAATATTCATCGTGGCAACAGCGATAATATTCCAACCATCATTCATGTTTCCATATTTATGAAGGTCCTACTTAGGTTACAGTAATAATGTCAGACGTCACATTAACATACATTTTTTCTGTAAATACACTAAATTATACAACGTAATTTTTGTTAAAACTTCCTTATCTCCATAATCGGCATCATGCCTGCCGGTAATCCATAAATCTTTCCCTAGTTCTCAAGCTATTACGAAATCTTTATATAATGTAAGTATTCCACTTGAAAACTTTCATTGTTTTACTTGTATTAGCCGAAATGAGATAACATTTCATTTGTCACGACACTGTGGGAACATTTCTTTCTACTTTCCATCTTAGTTTTGGTAACAAAGTGCCATGTAATGACGACCGATTGTGCTGTCTCTCAAATTCATAATATCACATTGCGTCTTAAGTGTCTGTATATTATTGGATAGAATGGATTTAATTATGACTTATTAAGTGGTTTTCCGGACGTAATAAAATGGGTATAATATTACTTTATCAATTCCATACAAGGTGACCATTTCGAGAATTTCTAATGCGTTGAGGGGGTAAATTATTATTAATTCTCCTTCAGTTTATATAAAACTAGTGGCCCGCCCTCGCTTCGCTTCGGTGTAGAGCTGTAGTGTAGACTATAGTTTTTGTTCAAAGGCTTGTATTATACACAATGACTTTCTTCATAATAATTATAAACCTTCCATTCCAAAAAAATCGTTGCGTAGTTTAGAACCCGTTGTACCAAATGCAATATTGCTCTGCTGTTTCGATTTGAGAAAATATTTTTGTATTGGACAGTGCATTTATCGAGGAAGAATATAGGCTATATATTACCAGGCTACGACCAGTAGCAGCGGAGCATCGATGAAAAATTTTGTAAAAACGGGTAAAAATATTCCATTTGTGAGATTCCGTTGCGGCGCTGGGTAAACGGTTAATGTTACACAAAAACCATGTATGACGGAAAGTTCTATAAAAAAGTCCACGACAGCCTATTACCATATTTTAAGTTTGACTCACTATAAACCTTTTTCTTCAAACTAACGCGGGTGAAACCGCAGTGGACCTCAAGTTGTGACATAACTGTAATAGTTAGACATATGGTATCCCGGACTTTTTGTAAATATTGGTATCCTCTATAAAACTTTAGTACATCATGTTGCTCTATTGTCAATGACTTCCACAGCGTACGCGATATAAGGCTATTTTTTGGTATGGTTACATTATCGAAGTTTTCATATGGAACCCTAATTTTTTTGAAAGTACTCTAATCAGTGATAATGTAGCATGCAAATGGTGAAAGAATTTTTAAAATCGGTCCAGTACTTTTTGAGCCAATTCGTTACAAACATACTTACATACAATCTTTCCTCTTTATAATATTAGAATATTATTAGTATTTGTATATTATTCTTGTACATAATGTTAATTTTAGTTATTATATTATATTTTTAAAGTTTTTAGTTTTAGGTTCATTGTTACAAGTTTATGCAATTTAAATAATTATATAATATTACTTTCCTTGTATAGAAGTATATATTAGTATAGATTAATCTACTATCTGAAAATGCACCTATTCGCCTGTTTGCGATACACGAGGTGCACGATATGCGCTATATAATGCTATTGCATTTTTAACGTTTTTATCGGGCAACGTCTTTCAGGTCCGCTAGTTTTCATAGAAAGCGTTGAGATCTATAAGCTCACATGTTCCATAATGGAGTTGCACTATAACAAGTGGCATAGCTCGAAACATCCATAAATTCATACTAATAAAGGCGGCGCGGCGGCACCGTTACAGACATCCTTAACAGACATTATTTTTATGTTAATTAGGCATATTGGACATATGGAAGATAAGCATGAAAAATATTTAAATTTTCATTGAAAATTAGTATTGTGTGTCTTTGTCACTGAAAAAGAGTCTAAAAATTAGCATACAACGGCTGTTCTTGGCGAAACGAGTGTAAAGGACAAAACGTAAGATTTCCCAGTCCGCGTGTTTGTTTATTCATAAGTCGTTTGGATAAATTCATCATGAAAAAGAACAATATCGAATTCAATGAAGCAATGTTTCATTTATTAAAAATCTGGTGGTATAACTTGTGAATTAACAGTTTTCAAATTATTTTATTCGATGATTTCATAGAGTTGATTAGATTCCTGAATTGTCGCGGACTTAATACATATAAGATGTCTAAAGTAGTTCAACGTACAGATAATACATGTATCTTTATGTTTACCTAATTGAACATTTATGCTGAATGCTCAATTCAATTACTTCTGCTAGTGTCATCAACAATAGTTACTATTTGAGACTTTCATTCGCATAATTGAAAAAGACTTCGGACATGAGTGAACGGGCCTGATAGAATAACTTAAAATGCTATTGACAGAAATGGGTTGCTTGAAATTACGTTAGTGAATTATTAACAACAGTTAATTTAATTATATTGTGATATTTTTAGTAAACATTACAGTTTTAGTATTTATTAGACATGGCTTAAATATTACTAACATAAACTTCGTTAAGCCGTCTCTTCAGGTTCGGGAGTTGTAATACATACAATTTTAAATATTTATTTATTCGGTACAGTATTTTTTGTACTCAAAATACATTTTTTGTAAGAAATCATGTTTACAGGGTTCGTTAGAATAACAATTAACTATATCAGTAAAATGTCGAGAGAGATTTAGTTTACTAACTTCACAAATTTATTAAGGATCGATATATTCAGAAATCTCAAGGAGTAATTTTCAGTGTCATGGCACCACGAGTAATTATTATAATTCTTACCTCAGTAATGTAGATGGGTCAGTGGGTTAACTCAAAGGAACCAGAGGTAAACAGTGATCGATAAGACCTTAATACAATAAAATAGAGGAAGAGGAAAAAAAATATATATTGGGAAATTGAATATAGTGAAGGTTTATAAAATAACGGACGATGGCAGCCTATAAATGGTCGAATAATAGTGTGATGGCGGTAACGTAATCGGTTATTTTAGTAACGGTTTACATTGTGGCGGTGGATACAATGAATGAAAATTATTATCGTTGAAACAAATAAAACCCCATTGTATTCCATTTTATTTAAACTTTTTATCTTCTACTATGTTCGAGTGATATTTCATAATCTACTGAATAAATATAATGTTTTTATTGAAGTCAATTTGAATAATGTTGTCGATAAATCATTTCCTATATTTTAATGATAAGAATGATTATGTATTTTAATTACCCACATACTTGTAAATAAAAAAAACAATCATTTTAGTCGCGTTCCATCCAAACATTTTTATGGATGTGAAAACTTTTTTCAGTAACATAAACGTTACCTATTTATTATTATTGCATTAGATATTATGTAATAGAATCTTGAAATTTATTGTACCTACTGAAAACAGGGACCAAATAATCGGAAATTTAAAAATATGCTTTCTTTGTATCGCATGATTTGTAAAAGGTTTATTATTTTTATTAGGTTATTTAATTGGCTAATGCAAAATCGCCTCATAATGCCTTCGATCTCTTTTTGATTTTAGACAGTTGACAAAAATAGAATGCTTTGTTAAATAAGCCTTAATTTGAATTAAGAAATTTGGTGTTGGTGGGCTTAAAATCCCGTTAATTTTTAAATTTATTCGTTTTCTGTTCGGTATCGTATCAGTTACGCAAATAGTTCGGTCATCTCGAAGGCTTTGCGCTCCGTTCCGTTGCCTGCCTTGCTAGCCAGTCCTCCGCTGGTTGCGCTCAGGCGCACCTGTGCGCTACCGTCCTCAATGACTGTCAGTGTTGTGTTGTGTTTGTGATCGTCATTACCATTCTGCATATTGGAACTATCCTCTCTTTATCACGAACTGTAAAGGGATAGCACTGGATTAGCTCCGTCTCCTATTTACCTGTGTGGATCCAACGGTTTTTCTTGCTTGCGGTGAGTTGAATCAGTGTCCGATTTGAAATATGGCAGTTTTTGCTATTAACCTCCAACGTGTTTCGATATGTTGACGTTCATCAATTAAATAGTACATTATTAATTGAAGCGTCAATCACTCGTTCATTATAGTCGTTTACCAAAAGTTAACGGTAAATATTATTTTGATTCTTGTTTGTCATTTCTATTGATAATGATTGAGTTTAGCTATCCAACTTTTAGCAGGTATCGTCGACCTGATTATTTTATTTTAGAAAGCATATAACTTGGGTATATTATGTTAATGTACAACTTGGGCAAGTATTTGCACTTTTTCAGTAAATTAAATAAAACCAGTTTCAACGGGTTAGATGCACTTATTTTATTTATTTGTGACGTTTCGCACCCTTTGCAGGAATGCGTCGTCAAAATAATGATTATTATGAGTTATTTGTAATCAGTCATCTTTTTCCGTAATTTGTTTTCCTCATCGGAATATATCCACAGGATAATAGTCCTTAATCAAATATGTTATTGTGTCGAATATGCTGTATTGCCTTTTAAACTATTTGATCACGTTTCTATTTCTATTATAATCAAAGGTTCATTTAATGTTTTGTTATATTTATACTACCAACTTCCAGTGGGATTCGCACAGTTTTAATCTGATAAATTTGACCTTCGCACTTCTCCCTAAGGAGTTGATTGCAGTTGTTCATCGTCATCCTTATCACCTCAGCTTATTTATGTCTCCAATGCTGGGGCACAGGAATTCTTTATATGGTTAAAATACATAGACAGTAGACGTAGACAGAACAGAGGCCCAAGCACGAATTTTTCTCAGTTCCGTAACGTTGTGAGAAACTGAGTTTCTGTGAAAACTAAGCACGCCCCATCGGACGTAAGAACAAACTAGCTTTTTCTATGCAATATGTGACAATGACGATACATTACGGAGCTGTCGAAAAGCCGTGCTTGGGCCTTTGACCATAATCAACAAGAAGGGCCCGTGCGGATTGGTAGGACTCGCAGTTGTTGCCAAAAATATCGGTACTAATTTAAAATCTTTATGATATCGATGTACAGACTACCAGAGTTCATAATACCCAAAATTGACAAATAAAACCAAATGACTTTGAGCTTTATATAGCTTGAAATACTTAGGTACGAATCACGATCTATTGAGAAAATTCGTCAGTTTTTTTTAACTTGATGTGTCTTTACGAACATTATCATTGCATTTTCAATGAGCTCTTTGATGCCCAGATCCGAAGATCTTGGAATAATAACAAAACAAGTACAGTCAGCTTCTTACTTCGAGCTGCTGTAGTAATCTTGAAAAAAAAACTTGCATCGACGTTGTAAAATTCAAAGGTACAAGAGGTGTTCGTTTTCCTATAAAAAACGTAGTCGCGTGCCCAGAATATAGAATGAAAGGATGCTGGCAATGGCAAGTAGCCGCCTGTGTGCGTAACCAGTTTATTCCACTGTAGTACACATAGCTAGTTTTGTATTAGCTTTATAAAAGCATTATTTCGATGTCTTCTTCTATCGGCATCATCAGGTTTCACTATCGTTCACTTTTGTTTGCCTGCATTAACAATTAAGTTGGATCTGCAATATAGGCTTTATTAATCAAGCCATATTGCAGATCTAACTATCATTTACATCAGTAATTTCAATCATTTAATGACCTGATATAAATCGTTATATTATTGCAATATAATTTTATATATGATAATCTGCTTTTATGGATCAACTTTTCTCTCAATAAGGATTTTCCTGACTTTTCTTTTTATACCATCTTTCATATATTGCTTTAAAATCTCGGTGCTTATTCTGATGCAAGTTTCGCTTTCGATAAGCTTTCAAGTAATACAAGCAAACATCTCTAGCCCACTTTAAAACCGCTATTGCACAACCGAATTTCTTAAATTAGTTCTTAAGGTGGCAAAAGCAATAAAGAACAAATAAATGAAAAAAAACCGATACATGAAATTCGTGGCACTTTTTAGGTTTAACTACAGAGAAGGTTGATACGGAATCGCAGTTTTATATCAACTGCTCAGTTTCATTCAGCTCGGAAATGAATTGAAAAAGTTTGTAATTATGAATATTTTTATAGGCAGTATTTACATTTTCTAAGTATAACGAATGGAATAATGTCACAGTTTTCGTAATTATTTATTCAAGTGTTTCTGTTTCAGGTCTGCGCCAGTGTTGCTTGATAAATCAATAGTTGGTGAGTCCTAGAATGCTTGCCTTATTTTGTTATTGATTAACACCATTGACGTGGGCAATTGGTTTTGGTAGTAACTTCTTTGAAAGATGTTATTATTGACAACGACCAAATCTACAGTCTATATTAGTACATTACTTACATTGTCTCTGAAAGAATCCCACTGTCTAGGGGGGAAGTACCTAAAATTTCAAGCACCCTCGTCAACTAAATTTAATTTACCTAGTGATGTTGTTCTGGTTGAAGTTTTGAATCAATTAGTATCTAGTAGGTAGAGTAGAGAGTAGGCGTTTGCAAAATCAAACTTGATAAAACTTACACTTATCGTGCGTCAAGCACCCAAGCTTCAAACTAAAATCTTGAATCGGCAACTGTTTCAAGACATGATTCAAGTATTTTCTCAAGAAACTTTAAGTTATTTAGAGGAATGTGAAAGTCGCAAAGAAAAATCGAGTGACACAAGAACAGTTATTATAACCAATACAGAAACTTTGCGCGCAAAGCTTGCACTCAACAGGTTCTCCCCTTGGTAGCTAGAACGGGGGTAACCTCTCCTTAATAACTATGTAAATATCCTGTTCTAACTGTTCACTATATATTTTATGTTTGTGCGGTTACTCCCAGTAAGAGACACCGGAGACCACAAACTTTCTATCGGCTGATATGTAATTGTGATCTTATGAGTATAAACATTGATACTTAACTTTTAACTGCTTCTAATAAAAAAAATGATGTTATTGTAGATATCAACAAAGTATCGACCGATTGAACTTTAATAAATAATGATATAATTACTGATTTTAATACATAAAAGAAGGATATGCCATATTTGTGATGTTTCGAAAAGAAGAAAGCTTGTCGTATGAATGATATTGGGGTTATGTGATAATAAATCCGGACAGTACACATCACACCAAGTATTCAGTTCCAAATTAGATATAGCTTTAACCAAAGATATCTTAATTACAGATATAATACATAAATCAATATATTAGACAATACATACTATTTTCTTTTCAAATGTTTCAAAAATACCCAGAATTCGATAAAGTGTAAGATAATTATGGCTATGTATTTAGTAAACAAACATTGAGTTAATGCGGGAATACTTACGTATACCTAATATTTTAGACAGCTAACGATTGGTACCAATAATTTTCTACGTATGTTGCATTGCAAATTTTCAGCATATGTAATAGAGTAGAATAAAATATTTCTTTATTGCAAAACTGTTACATTTAGTAACGTAACGTAAAAGACAAACCTTATCATCATTGTTTTTCATCTTCATACGATTGCCATATTTTTGTGATGCCGTAAGCAGGTTTAGGTTTGAAATCGTTATCCGTTTAGCAACAGTTAATTTCATTACACTTCGATTAGTATTGAGCGTCAAATCTTGTTTATGCATGCACGTGCCATGCACCAAGCCAGTAATGATAAGAGAAGTCATACCAAGTAGGAAAAACGTGTGGGTAAAAAGTGTGAAAACGCAAACTAATTGTAAATTCTAGAAAGATTTAATGAATACTGTAATTGATTTGGTAAATTCCAAATGTGAGAAATGAAACTAATGTGGAACAAATCAATATCATGATAATAAACTTTACTTGCTTGGTGATGGTACATAGGTAAGATCTAAAATAAAAAACTATTTCACATGATAAGCCCTTTTTTTTTTTTTTTTTATTACGCAGGTAAAAAATGCTATTTACAGACGACGGCGCCTTTAAGAGGCACACCGCCGAACGGACCTCACACCTGGCTTCCGCAAGTCTTACGGGCGCCCCAGTGGCTGTCCACCGAGGACCCCGCAACTCTTACGGGCGCTTTACGGCATAATATCCGCTAAAAAAGTCCTGCGAATACCCTCTAAGCTGCTTAGCGCGAAGCCGCGGGATCCCCGTTTAGGGATTCCTCCGCGTCTCCGCACCTAGCAGCCTCCCGGCCTAGCCGGGGCTCCACGGCAGGGGTCCCCCGGGGTATCACGGGGACCCCGCAGACGTGCGCAGGTAGGCCCGCGCGTGGGGGTTGAGTACGCGGCCTAATGCCCACCGTACAGCCCCCCGTCCGTTGCGGAGGGCTACTTGGGCGTGCCCGTGTAGCTCCCTCCGCCGCCCCCCTCTTTGCAGGACAGAACTACAAGGGGGGGCTGCCGTCACGAGGTCCGTCGGTGGCCGGCACAGCCAACGCCATGCCGGTCAGCGAGGGACCCCCCGGGTAGGGTCATGGGACGGGCGCAGCCAGGGCGCGTCGCCGTCCTCTCCTACCCGTCCTCCTTCTCCTCCCGTGCAGATAGTGACCGAAGCATCCATGCCCGGTCAAGATCTGCACCATGCGGAACGTGAGGCCGCCGCGCCGGCGACCCAACCATTCCTCCAACACCGGACGAATGGCTTCAATCGTCCGGTGGCCGGCGCTAGCATGGGCGAGTGCCTCATCCTATCGCCGCAAAGCTTCGCTCTGGGCGATGGAACGGACCTGCCTCAGCTCTGCTGGGGCAAGTCTTTCACCCCGCTCCCTGGCCTCAACCCGACCTCGATGCATTTCTGCCATAACCAGCGCATCGAGGTCCCACGGCGTCGCGCCTGCGAGCACGCAGGCGGCGCCGTGGCTGACCGTGCGGTACGCCCGCACGGCCCGGGTCGCGATGACCCTCTGCGGACGTCGCAAGAGGGCCCTCGTGCGGGGTTTGAGGCACTCAGCCCAAACCGGAGCTCCGTAAAGTGCCATCGACCGTATCACCCCGTGATACAGTCGACGGCACGCAGTACCTGGTCCCCCCACGTTCGGGAGGACCCTGCCGAGTGCAGCTGCAGCGGCACACAGCCGTGGAGTGAGGAGCTTAAAATGCTCCTCGAAACTCCATCGGGGATCTAGTACCAGGCCGAGGTACTTCAAGCTTCCCTCGACCGGTAGTCGGACCCCCTCCACCCGGATATGGAGCCCCGGAGGGGTACTGCGACGTGGGCCATGGAACATCATGGCCCTCGATTTGTCGAGGGCCACTTCCAGGCCCAGGAGGTGGATGCGTCGGACGACCATCGATGTGCCGACCGACGCTAGGCGCACCACATCCTCCACCTCCTTTGCTTTCGCCGCGATAAGAGTATCGTCGGCGAAGCAGACAACCTCCATTCCAGGAAGGAGGCTGCCTTGCAGTACCCAGTTGTACCCCAGGTTCCAGAGCAGTGGACCCAGCACTGAACCCTGGGGCACACCTGCGGCCATGGCCCGCGAGCGGATGCGCCCGTCAGGCCCCTCGTAGAGGACCACCCTGCCCTGTAGGTAGTCCTCCACGATGGCACACAGGTATGGAGGCACTCGATGGAACCTGAGTGCCTCTATGATACACTCGTGGGGGAGGCTGTTAAAGGCGTTGCGGATGTCTAGCGACACCGCAATAACAGCCTCACCCCGCGCAGTGGCCGCCACGGTCCACCCCTTTAAAAGGGCCACCGCCTCCACTGTGGACCGATTGCGCCTGAACCCGAACTGGCATTCGGCCAGGTTCGGTCCCGGCCCCTCTAGGTGCTCGACGATTCTGAGAGCCAGGATCTTCTCGAGGAATTTCCCGGCATCGTCGAGCACCACAATTGGCCTATAGCCGGAAGGGGAGTCTTCCGGGCGGCCGTCCTTTCTGAGAAGGACGAGCCGCCCCTGCTTCCACCTCCTGGGGAAGCGGCCCGCGGCGATGCTGAGGTTCAGCACCGCCAAGAACCGCTCCTTCAGGGGCCCCAAGGCGAGGGCCAGCACCTTTGGTGGAACCCCCTCCGGCCCTGGCGCCGTCTTTTTGGCCCGGAGCCTGTCCCTCACCGCGTCAAACTCCGCGTCCGACACGGGAGGGGGGGGTGGGATCGGCTCCTCAGAGAGGCCCCCGGAAGGGAGCATTCTCGGGGGCTGGAACGGACCCGGGTCAGGGAACAGAGTCCCCAATACCCGGTCCAGCAGCTCCTCCTCCAGGTTCGAGGTGGGGGGGGCGTTGGCGGAGAATTTCCCCCGCACCACCTTGTAGGGCTTCCCCCAGGGGTCCTGGTCTAGGAGAGCTATGAAGCTCTCCCAGGACGCCCTCTTCGCCACGACAATGGCGACCCTTAGGGCCTTCTTGGCCTCCTTATACACCCGACGACATTCCGCCTCGTCGTCGGGCGTGCTTGAGGCGCGCCTACGGCACCTCAGATAGGCGCGCCTAGCCCTCAGGCTGGTGGAACGCAGTTCGGCTATCTCCTGCGTCCACCAGTAGGTCTGCCTCCTCCTGGGGCAGACCCGTGTCCTCGGCATGGCGGCTCCGCAGACAACCTTCATGTCGTCTGCAAATAGCTCCGCCATGCCGTCAACATCCCCGGCGAGGTGGGGGGGCGCATCGGCCCATGCCCGCACCATCGCCGCCTCCGCCACCAGTTCTGGGCGGAGTTTCGTGAGCGCGTACCTAGGGAACGCGCTCATAGTGGGGCTCCTGGTGTTATTAGCCCCGCGGGATGTCAAGGAGATCCCATATCTGATGTATTGGTGGTCAGACAGGGTCTCCTTGTCCTCCACTCGCCAGCCCACCACACGACTGGCCAAGGAGGGAGTGGCAAAGGTCACGTCCACCACTGACGAGCCGTTCCACCGGACGCAGGTCGGGGTGTTTCCAACGTTAAGGATCCGGAGTCCCATGGATAGAAGCCAGTCCCCCAGATCCCTACCCCTTACATCAATGGTGGTTGACCCCCACGCCGTGGATTTGGCATTGAGGTCACCCGCTATTAGCACCGGCAAGGGGGTTGCCCTCAGTACGACCCCCTCTAACGCAGACAGGTAGACCTCAAAGTCCGCCCGACTGCGGTTAGGGGAGAAATATGTGGATACCACTACAATTCCCCCCCACGAGGCGGCTACATAGCCAGCACCCCTCTCTCTGAAAACGAGAGAAGGGCCTGTGCTGCCGGGAGTCCGCATAATGGCGGCGGACTCATTTGTGTCTGCTAGCCAATTCGGCGATTGAGGCGGAATTGAGTATG